AGAGAGAGAGAGAGAGATATATAGATGTATAGGTGTATTAATCTTAATTATTAGAGCAGGTTGCAAGAAGGAACGATTTATATAGTTGGCAAATTGTGGCTCATTAGTGCAAATCAAGAGTTTGCAGCATAGGTTGGCACTTCTAGGTCCCATTAAGCATTGCTTAGTAGGTAAATGCCATACAGCAATTCAAATAAATAGTAAAACCTATAGGAAAAATGTATCAGTTTTTAAGACATTGATGTAAATTTATCGAGAGAAAAGAAAGAAAGAAAGAAAGAAAGAAAGAAAGAAAGAAAGAAAGAAAGAAAGAAAGAAGAGAGAAAAGAAAGAAAGAAAGAAAGAAAGAAAGAAAGAAAGAAAGAAAGAAAGAAAGAAAGAAAGAAAGAAAGAAAGAAAGGTGTTACATATTTACAAAAGAGAGATATTTATTACATATTTACACTAACTTTACAGAGCAGGAATAAGTCCAGGAGAGAACTGCATTCACTTATAGCATTAGCTACTCAAATAACCTATTCTATCGAATTATATTTAAACTAATGTTATATTAGCCTAAAATAGTATCATTTATACCTTAAAGTGCACTGAATAATTCGATATTTAGATGACATATTAGATAAAAATACATTTTTTTAAAATTAAACTCAGGAAATTATTGCAAGTACATGATCTGTATAAATGACTACAGAGCAATCCTAATACCTAAAAAATTATGTTTTTCAGCAGCTACAAAAAAAAAGGCAATGAGCTGCCATAAAGTGCTTCAGTTTTATTACGTTCCCTTTGTTAATAGAGCTGCACTAGCCCTTTTTTCTGCTGCCCGGTAGCTGTTGCGATATTGTTTTGCTCAGTTGCAGCCAAATACCTTTTGTTTGTCATTTCTAGGAATGAGTCTTCCTATACGCCAGAAAGTCCTCCTTTTTACCCTGGCGCCTACCAGACTGCTGACTCCACAGTTGCCTGGATTGTGACCTTTAGCCGGTCAGGTGACAGTGCAGGTGCTCTAGACCCTTTCCCAACATACATGGCACTGGTCAGCATAGCGTTCTTCAAACCTATACAGCAAAATACAGGATTTGGTCTCTAAACCTGAGCAGCAAGGGTATCAGAGACTTGTGAAAATAGAGGAGGAATGCCTGAGCTGAGAGCAAGTTCTTACTGGTGTCCATTTCGAAGTAGAGACTGTTCAAAGAGCAAAGCGAATATTTACTGAGCTTAGTGCATAAGGAAAATCTGTGTCCTCTTCAGTTATTTAATAATGTGTAATAAAAAATAAAAAATCATGTTTCTTAATTTAATTCCCTTGTATATAATTGGTTGTCAAACCAGAACACAGATTCATCTTATGTTCTAAACTCAACGAGCATTCACTAGTAAGAACGGTCTATCCCCCTTTAGTAAATCAACATTTTAATCACTGCAAGGTCTGTATTAAGATTTTAAATCTAAATCCATTTTAATCGTTTATATTGTGTTTTTATTTCTTTTGATTATTGTACCCTTTATCATACGTCAGAAATAGAAAAAATAAATGCTCCGAAAGTAAATGGCAATACAATTTTAATAGAGATTGTTACATTCCGGCTGGGACAGGCCAGAATACATAGCCATAAATAAAGTAAACAGAACCATAAATTAAGCCTTTTCAAACATTTTACTTAAAAAAAAAAAACATTAAAACTTTTTTTGTCAATTACAATATTTTCGCATCTTTTTTTACACCATGTATATGACATACTTTTGGTCCTCAGTAGAAACTACAAGTTTCACGCAAAATTAAAAAGAAACCAGCACTTTCACACAAAAAATATTCCCTGCAACATAATGAAACACAAAAAATATCGAAACAGAGAGGAAAATGGAAAGCTAAGGGGAGAGAAAAAAAACTGTACACTTCAAGAATGGAGGGGGGGACTTTAAAACACAGACTAAGGTTTAACATTAATGTATACAGTCAATAAAAGTCCTTTAGGTTGTCTAGAATTAGGAAGAGTTCATTATTGGTCTGGAATACACACCTTGATAGTAAGAAGTGTCACTTGAAATAGGCGAGGACTCTAATGCAGCTTTGTTCGTTACTGTGCTCATGGCTAGGCTACCTGCCATGGGGGAGCCATAGCCAGAGTAATGCATAACCTGTTCATAGGCTTTCAAGTCCATTTTATGGTGGTGGTGGTTGTGGTGATGGTGGTGATGATGGTGTTGCTGTTCGGAGGACATGAGGTTGTTGATGGAGAAAGGGTGGTTGAAGGAATAATGGTGTTCTGGTTTGAGGTGGGACTGGGCGTCATGGGACAACACTGAATGGTGTTGTGACAGCAAGTGCTGGGCTTGGGACACGGGAGAAGCGTTGTGGTCAGGGCTCAAGCCTTGGCTGGATTTCAGGTCCACCAGAGCCCTCTTCTGCTCTTGGCATGGTGAGGAGCTAGAATGGGGGGATTCGTTGCCCCCAGAGCTCTCCGAGCTACTGTTGGCGGCAGAACCCACACTAGACCCACCTTCAGAAAGCTTCTTGCCACTACCATCTCTGGGGCTGTGCTTCTTATCGCACTTAAAGCGTTTCTGACGCCTCAGGTAGCATCCGTTCTCAAACATGTTCCCCGAGTCTGGGTGGAGAGTCCAAAAAGAGCCCTTGCCCGGCTTATCTGGAGATCTGGGCACCTTGAGGAAACAGTCATTAAAGGACAAGGAATGGCGGATGGAGTTTTGCCAGCGCTGCTGATTCTGCCTGTAGAAAGGGAACAGGTCCATGATCCACTGGTAGATCTCACTCAAGGTCAACATTTTATTAGGAGACTGCTGGATGGCCATGGTGATGAGCGAGATGTAAGAGTATGGCGGCTTGGCATGGGTGTAACTCCTCCTGTAAGTCTTAGGATCCCTGGACCGGTTGATGTTGGACTGTCCATAGATAGGGCTCATGGAATTGATGTTGGTGTAAGGTGCCAGGGCGTTCATGGATGTAGCCTGGGCGCTCATGGGGCTCATGCTTGGGCTCAGGTGGGTGGCCATGCTGGCTACACCTGAACCCATACCGGCCATGGCACCGGTGCCAGGAGACATGCCAGTCAAAGACGGGCTCATTCCAGTGTTGACATAGGACATGTTCATGGAGTTTGCCGTCATGTTAGCCGTGGAACTCATAGCCTGCATGCTCATGTATGTGTTCATGGTGTTCATGCTTAGTCCAGCGTTCATGTTGCCTACTGACGAGTAAGCCTGGGAAGTGAAGAAAGGGGTACAGTTATTATAAGGGAATTACATGAATACAGTACAGAGATGATGCAAGTTTTACTATATATACATCTTTATTTGTGTCTATCTCTTTCTCTCTCTACAGTACAGAAATTATAAAAGTTGTATTATATATATATA